ATTGAATTTATATTCGCACTTTAATGATTACTTTGTCAGTTAAAATTCAAAATTTGAAACTCATTGCAAAAAAAAGAAATTTGAAGTCCATTACCGTTTTAAATGTCCTAATCCAAAGTTTTTTAAAAAATGGTGACTTTTTGTTATAAATGAAAATTAGGGAAACTAAAATGTGCAATTCTTAAATAGATTAATGCTGAAACGATTAGTTTGGCTTGTGGGGTGTAGTTATAGATATTGCAAACTTGAACTTGAAGTCGCCTTGAGGTTGACGAACGCAAATTGTTACCACTTAATTTAACAGTTTATTCTCGCTGGAATAGAAAATTTGAGAGCTTTCCATCTTATCGCCTACATTAGTTATTAATTTAATCTATCGGTGAAATTACGCTTATTTCTAGAAAGTTTCCTATCAATTCTTGGAGTTTTGGCATCTTATTATGCATATATTACTTAATCCGACAAATTTCTAAAAGAATTGTGGGAAAGCTATTTTTCAAACAAAACGTTCAATTTAAATGAATGAATAGAAATGTCTATTGAAGCTACTTGAGGGGTCGTATAAGAAAAAATTGAAGAAGTTGATGGACGATGAAGTTAAATGCCTTCCAATCACATTTGCTATTGTGATTGGATTTACGATTAGCACTGTCATTCGCCATGTTTTTTCAACTTTCTAACATTCTGAAGATTTACGAAAATTGGCCTACTCACAGTTCTATGTGCCTTAACCTCGAATTTTGAGGTGAATTATTATTTTCATATTTGGTCACTTGTTTAAATGGGGCCTACTAAATGTTTATAGGACTAACTAATAACTTAGATGCAATATAATAGTAAATATTCTAACATCTAACCAAAGTCCTTTTGCCTTTTTATTAATAACCGATGAGTCTGCTAGCATTAATGTTCATTATGTACATCAAATTGTAAGCTCCGTCGGCAAGTTTGTGTTGTAGTAATTTTTTTGAGTGCATAAGCTGGTGCTAGCGATGTAACGACGTCTAGCCAGTGCTGTAACCTGACCTAATCACTCTACTATTGGTTCGTGTACACTGAGGTAATGATCTAAATGCGCTTTTTCGAATGAGTAAAATGAATGTAGAGGGTCTTTGGAGCAAAAGTAAAATTACTTGTTCTGAAACTCAGACAATGTGTTGGATACACTGGATTGATTATCTGCATGGTTAGAGTTCACTGCCAGACGTAATTTTGGGGCAAAATTAAGCAAGTAACTCTGTTGCTCCAGAAAGCTCTAGGTAAAGAAAATGTGCTTCATTTTACTTCCTAGTAGTCTTATTCGGTTTCCTAGTGAGGCACATTGGGAAGTTATTTAAAACCACTTGGCAGTGACTCTTTACCACAGATAGGTATGAGTGTACTATAAATAAATGGAATAATTTTGAAATGACCTTGAAAGTACTTACCAGTTGTTGGGCCGTAAGCAATAAATTCGCAGACTGTGGTATTCGATGTCACCACTGTCTTATACTATTGAATTTTATATCAGTTACAATAACGTCATGAGCGCTTATGTATTCCTATCCGTATAAATTAGTTTTAAATCGCAACTTGTTCGATTTAGCTTACTGATGAACTCACAAACAGTAGATTCGTCAATAGCTTCATTTTCTAAAAGTCACTGCAAAATGAAGTTGACTAACCCATGGTTTTAAATTTATAGAACTATAAAATATTGTGATAGGATGTTTAGGGGGGGGAGGGGGGTTTAGAGGGTTGGTAGAAGTAATGAATAATTTGGATTTTTCGAAAGCGCCTTACTTCATTTGAATTATGGAATCATCAGGTCATTCGTTTTTTATCGAGCGTTGTCTCAAATTATAGAAGCTCAACTTTCGAAATCTGTTCTATGCTTCAGGACTTGGTTTATATCCACTTTTTCTAAGCGTGTTGATTGGCCGTTCACGAAACACGTTTTAAGGTGCCTATTCTACCAGTTATTAATTAGCTGATGTTAGCAATTTTTTGTTCAGCATTTGTAGAATGTGTTTCCATTATTAATGAACACTTTTAATCTTGAAAGAGACCATTGTAAGGATTTAGAGTTCATTCAGTTTCAATGACCCCAATCGCCTTTTCTAGACCCAGGCTCGGTATTCACATACTAAATTCACAAATTGCTCAAGTCTAACCTACTTCTACTAAAACAACCAATCAGCTTATTGTTAAAAAGGAAACAATTTCAAAATGAAGCACACATATGAATCAGCTTCTTGCTGCTTTAATGAATTGCGAAAGTCAAATGGCATATTTATAAAAGGCTGACAATTTACAAAATGGCAGGCTTTTTTGTCACAAATTGAATTCTTTCACACAAGGCCTTAAGAAATACCTATCGTAAATTTAACTGTATGTGCTTCTATGAGCGAATTAACTAACTAACAAGCTAGTATGTTAGAAAGGCATTACAATCACCCCTAAAATTTTAGTTTGAAAGACACACTTTTGAACAATTTGCTACACTTTCACTGTGTACCTAATAGGCCATTTAATTGATACATTGCTAAACAAAATGGTAAAATCGTATTTCTTTTTCATCTAATGAATTTATAGAATCAGTAATTGAGTGCTGAAACGTAAGAACTTTAATTGCTTAGAAATGATTCTTTTCTAACTTTTCGGCTTGGGTGAAAGTTTGATAAAATATGCCGCTTCTAAGTGTGTTTGTTTGTTACTAAATTTAAGTGATGGCTTATTTTATCGATTGATCTTCCTGTTATGGGAAAGGGGGTTTCAACTGTGAAAATGTGATAGATCGATGAAATTCCACTAGATCTCACTAAATGCACTCCCTTGTGGGAAAGACACTAATCGATAGTAATTCAGGATTGTGAACCTAAAATCAGTTTGTCTTTTTTATTTCAATTACTGAGTCAATTTCTACAAATTTTTGTAAACCTTTTTCTCACGGTTGTTAATTAACTCGAAATCATTTTAGTACTCAAATAAGGAATTATGAATGCACTTTTTTAAACATGAACAAAGAATAATTTTGTTAAGTGTATATGGCTACTAACCGATTTGAATTAAATATATAAAAAGAAATTTTTAATCCAAACAATGTCAGTAATCAATTTATGACGTCTTCTGTCATTCCTGTTCCCTTAAAATTAAAGAATACAAACGCGAATGACTGAATCAAATTTTAAACATCAGTGTTGCAGCCTGGGGAGAGCTCCCAAAGTACGAATCTAAGTCAGTGAAAAGTATTTAAAAAATACAGATTAATGCGCAGCGAATACAGGCAAATTTTGCATTGACTACCTGTTTTCTTTGCCTACTTTGTTTTGATCTATTAAAGTCGGTTTAGATTTTCCTTTCCCATGTCTCTTAAGATTAATTTTAAGTGTAACATCGAAGTTACTTCATTTACCTGTAATGCATTGAGTGCTTCAGTTAGTAAAATATTTAAATATCTGTAGATATGCATAATATCCACTTATTCTTTTCCTAATGCGTGTTTTGATGAGACTGAAACGAATTGAGTACACTCACGTAAAAATTACCTAACCTGATTTCGTAGAATTTGGTAAAAAAGAATACATCTTTCCATCGTTTGCATTGCATTGGATATAGTAAAATTGGAGTTCAGCTATAGATAGGATATGAAACCAAAATTGATATATTTTGTCCTATATTTGTCTTTTTTATTAATTAAAGGGTCAATGATGTTTTAGATGCTAGATGAAAGAAGCTATTTCAATCATACGAAATGTACAATTCTGGTTACTAAAAGACCTTATCTTCAACGTCTGCGAAATTATCTTGTCGAAAAAATTCGGTAGAGATATTGGATTTTGTACATAAAGAAGTCGTTAATCGTGAGCCCAATTGAACGTCTTCCTCCGTGGTTAAGTCACACTTTTATAAAGAGACATAAATACAAAACAGGACAAACATTTGTGAGAATCTTTCTTCACTATTGACTCTTAGCCACAATACGCAGACCATTTACATTTTTGTATTCTTTCACTGAGTTTATTTATCTCAAGGTAATCAATTTTAAAAGACATTCGTTACAACTTTTCAAGTTCTGTAAATCTTGATAATGAGATAATTTAAATTGTGCAATGCCTGTCAACCGGAAACGGCTCTCGACTTTCCTCGTAACTTATCTTAAAGTAAGCTTACCAAATTTGATCAGACGAACTCCAGAACTTCATTTGCCCTTCTTGTATTCACAGTTATTTAGAAAAGGAAGGTACAAACCATAAATTTTGTTTTAACCTTTTTTCTATTTGTTTCAATTAACGTGCCTAATAACTTCTTAAAATGTCGCCTGGAATTTCGAAGTTATTTTATAAAATTATTCGTCTCTAGTCTTACCTTAAACTAACCAGACTATATTTAACACATTCCACCAATTTTGGTGTCTATTGTTCAATCTTAGAAGCCAAAAAAGTTGTATTCGATTTTAATCAAATAAAATTTAAATTGATTGGGTACGTACGGTGTTTTGTTGGAATGTTTACACTTTGTATTGCTTAAGTCCCTATGATTGGCGTTTCATGAATGCTTTATATTGTGCAATTATGACATGGAAGTAAAAGTGGAATCTTACAAAATTCAAACGTAACATTCAGGTAGTTTGTAAAAAAGTAAATCAGTCGATTTTGCATCTCTGAAAAGTTGTTATTTGTTAAGTCAAATTATTGTCGAACTGAACATCGAGTGGCCAAATTGTCTTATTTATATCACAGCATGTGTGCCTTTGAAAAAGATGATTTTTTGCGTCTTAGTCTCTTAGCTATGTCTCAGTTGGCCATGTTTTATTAGCTCCAATTATTTATCAAAGGCAAATTAACTTAAGTATATATTTTAATATAAGTATATGCATGATCTCAAGGATATTGAAGTGAGACTTTGGACCTACCATTCTAATAAGCCGACAGTACTATAAGATCTGCATAGTAAACCGCAGCAGATATCGCTACGTCTGCTCATACGCCCTGAGTGGATGTTGTAAATCCCTTTCTTGAATGAAGTTAGAAGGTAATTTTAATGTCTGCATCATGTGTTAGCCTGGTTAAAACTTTGAAAGTTACAATGCGACCTAATTTTTAAAGTTGTTATAGATTGACCATGTCATCTGTATTTTTCGCTTATGGCTTCCTAATGGATGTTTTTAACGATAGAATTTAGATTCACTCTCATTTTTATATTATTTTAAACCTACGTTTTCACTTTTAGTAGTGGAAGATGATCAAGACCCTTCCTTATATATTGATTCCAATGCTCCCCAGAAAGCGGCCTCTAAAGGAGGTCTATTCCCATCGCCTCCATCCTTCCACTGTCCGGCCAACTCAACCGGTGTGGGCTGTTTGGCAGACTTTCTTCGCCTCGACATCACCTCCTCCGATCATCGTCGTCTTCGTTTAGAGGTCTGCCCTTATGCTCAAATCAACAATAGAACAGAAGTATATGGACAAGATTTCAAGCAAACTAATGATGACGAGGAAGAAGGGGAGATGTACTATGGATTAGCTACAACACCAATCAATAGTCCAATAATGACGTTTGGACCGATCTACAACTTCACTTCGATTGATTTTATGGTTAACTTACAACTGGGAGGTGGACCGATGTCCCACTTGGGGGTAGGGAATGAATCGGAAGTAAGGCATCATGGATGGGTTAAAGGTCTCCTCTTTGAATATATCTGTAAGTTTGTTCGACCTTTTTGTTGCCAAAATTGATGACGGTTATTTTATCTTTTCGCATTTCATGAGAAAAGTTGTAGCAAAGAATGGGGCTTTGAACATAATGTATATACTAATAATTTTACTTTCTGCTTTCACTAATTTTACCATTTTACAATCGTAATTGTTATTGAAGAAATAATTTCTGTAAATTGTCATTATGAACGAGCATTAAAGCGAATATATGAGGAATAAAAACCGGAGGAGGGGAAACTAAGGAACTCCAAAGAATCCGACCTCTGCATCTATCTTAATAAGTTGTGCTAATGACAGCAAAATTAGTTCTAAATCGGATTTTTCATCAATAACGTGTGTGTGTGTGTGTGATAGGTTTAGGATGATTAAAGCGTCAGTTTTGTACATTTTGTAATGCGGAAGTGCCCCATAAAGTTTTGCGCCTAGTTTATGGAAGAAGTGAGTTGTCCACTTTCTCCTAAGTACTTGCTTTACTTTGCAAAGTCTACTTGTTCGAAGGCTCATTTTCTTATTTCATGTCGAGGCTTATGGAGGAGATAAGCAGAACTTGTTAATCTCTCTTAACTACCATCGTACCTTAGTGTGAAGCCACGTGCAGTTAACTTAACTCCAAACTAATTAAAATTGACTGAAGTTTATTCATTATATACAATTGATATGACTTTAGTTAAGTATTATTCGTCAAATCAATCAAGAAATTTTGGTTAACATAATAATTTCCATGACCCTAGTTATTTTAATATTTTTTAGGTTTTTAAAAAAGAATTTAATTGAGGAATGACATTAGTCTGTAATTTCGTCTAACCGTTGTTTAAATGAATGATTAGGTCATCTTGCTTTAACTAAAGGAAAAAGTGAAGACGAGAGTCGAGAGAAATAGAAGGAGAACGTAAGGTCAGTACGAGTGCACTTAACTTCACAAGGGTCATTCATGAAAACTCCATACACCTCACCTTTGAAGGTCTGAAGGTGGTACAAGTGATCATCGCTATTACTATGAGATAAATTAAAGAATTAGTTGTTCATTGATATTCAAAATTTCCGAATGAGGTAAACCAACTCCATTTTAAAAAGATCAAGATTAGTTCCAAAGAGTTTCTACCGATTGTCATGGAGCATGTTAAGCTTCGCATTGCCACTAAAATGCACATTTAATACTATTTCGAAATAGACTTATACGTATTTAAGGTAAGTTTTTATTTTATTTGCCCTCTCGATTAGTAATTGACCTCATATGAAGAAATTCGAAGCCTCTATTTCAGCATCAGCGTTTAAATTCTAGGATCATTTAATGGATTACTATTATCTGAAGTTCTAATAATGATTTATTTATATCAACTGTCAGGCGTTTTGATAATTATCATTAGCCCTTTAGTTTAGTTCAGGCTTCACAAAGAGAAAGGAACACCAAAGTGAAAACAGTCGAGAGGGGGGGGGGAACAGAAGAGTGTTTCACAGATATAAAAGAGATAGACACAAAGGTAGAAAAAAGGTGAGGTGAGTACTGTAGAAATAGTCAAATATGGCATAGAGTGAGATGATGGTAGTTTGAAGTGAGAAGTCAACTGCCAGTCAATAGACTTTTTTGCCGTATGAATATACGTTGCCCAGGGTGCACCACGTGGAGGTAAGTCTATCGCACACCCCACATTTCTAATAATGATAAAGAAATAAACTTGAATTTCGTATATGGTAGTA